TGATGGAGACCACCGTGATGTGAGAAGCGCAAGTGGAGAAAGCCTTTTGCCTCCCTGAAGTGGATCGGATGCGCATGATGGTAGAGATAATGTGGACATAAGACACAGTATTTACAGACAAGGTCCCAAGGAGGGAGAGGGTAGCAGTGATGAAATTGAGGAGATTCAGCAGACTGGTGTCCGTGCATGCAAGTTTGACCAATGGCCCATTGTCACAGAAAAAATGGTTGATGGTGTTTGGGCCGCAAAAGGGCATCCGGAATAGTACAACTGCAGGAACGATGATCAGCAACAATGCTCCAGCCCAACACCAGAGCACCAGCAATGAGCAGACCCGATTGTTCATGATGGTTGAGTAGCGAAGAGGGTTGCAGATGGCAACATACCTGTCAATGGACATTGCTGCCAGCAGAAGGAATTCTGTGGTTCCCAGGACAAAGTGCACAAAGGACTGTGTGAAGCAACCAGCTAGAGAGATAGTCTTCTGGCCAGTAGCCATGTTGTCCAGTGTTTTAGGAACAATGGCACTGGTATACCCAATCTCCACAAATGCAACTTGTCGTAGGAAGAAATACATTGGGGTGTAGAGCTGTTGATTCACCAGTGTTATTACAATTATCAGTATGTTCCCCATTATCGTCAAAAGGTATACCCCAATTAGCAGGAGGAAAAGTATAATTTTAAGTTGATGGTTGTCCGTCAAACCCAACAATATAAACTCTCTCACCATGGTGTTGTTCATCGTTGTTGGCACTTCCCTAAAAGGAATGGGAAATCAAACCTTAGAGCTGTGTTAGCCTTTAAAAAAATCAATTTTAACTCTCTGCAATTGCCTGAGTGTGACAGTTACTGATATCATGAAGAATTGGATCAGACCAGTAGATCTGTTTCAGTCCTTTAGAGACCCTACTCCCAGACTATTTAGATCAGAGATGGCCTTCTAAACATTATTGGACTTAAACCCCCATCAACCCTGAGTTGGAGTCCAGTGACATGTGAATAATCACAAGTTTACCATCCCTGGAACAGAACCAAAGCAACATATTTTCATTGAACTTGGATGGGTGGGTGGGACATGGGAATTGTCTGCACTGATATGTCCACCAAAGCAGGCCCTTGCCAGTTCCCATCCAAATGCTCTTCAAAGACATCTCCATATATGATGCATCACAATAACAATAACCATAGCGAAATCTAAATGATTCTGTGAATAAGCATCTCATATGCAAAATCATTTTCTTTTACAAAAGCAAATACTTTGCATCACCTCATTTCATCACCAAAGTCTGTAGCAAAGTACTCACCTCTTAACATCAACTTAGAAAAGGGGGTGGTGTTATCATTTGTATAGATGCAAAGTTGGTGGCTAGAACTTTCAGGCCATGGTGATGACGCTGACATTCTTCCACTAACCAGGGAGATTGAACAATTGTAAAGATTTCTCTCCTTAAGCCTATTTTTTGTGTTGCCTCTGAACATGCCACGTCCTTAACACTTTGCCAAAGAGTCTTTGCTGTCTTGGCTCACAGACTAGTGACCTCGATGATATTTTGCATTTCTCCTTCTCTTTGCGCCAGGAGTGAACACCGAAGCAACCTGGCTCATGTCCTTAAGTGCTGGTTTGTGTCCCTAAGCACATCTCACAAGAGATATTCAGTCTTGGCTTGCTAACAATACACAGTAGACATGAATGTTGCTTCTCTAAGGTACAACAAACTTATTGTGCATCATATGAAATAGGCTCAGGCTGAAACCAATTTTGTGTGTGGGCTTCACATAGGAACCTGGTTGGCCATTGTGGGAACAAGATATTGGACCACAGGAGACTTTGGCCTAATCTGGCATTGTTCTTCATAGAACTATCATATTTTGGAAAGCCAGATACAGGGCATGACCCCACAAATAATAAATGATGATGATGATGATGTGGTGTTGTGGCCTGCCATCGCCAATTGCAGCTTGAGGGAATCAAGAGATCTGAGAACTCTCTTGCCAGCTGGAGGACTTGAATTTGGCCCACCTGCCATTGGCATCTTGCTGGGGAGGGGGCTGTCACATGGTGTTGGTGAGTGGGGAACCAAACATAATGGATACATAGACAAAACTGACACCACCTCCCCAGCACTGTGATGGATCCTACTCCTACAGGGTGACTGTGGTGGGTCATCTGCATCCCTGATTCCTACTGGTTGGGTAGTGGACAGGGGCATGAAAATAACGTGATTGGAAATTTAAAACAAAAGTCTATATGCCAGATCTGAGGTATCTGCAGTGGCCTTAAAGGGACAAGACACACTCCCCCAAACAAATCTATGTTCAATGGACCCTTTGCATGGGGGGGGGGGGTAGGAACTACACAGCACGACTCCATACATCGAAATGTGTAATGTATATATGGTAGACCCCCACTCGCAGGCATAGCTTACACAATACCATAAAACAAACAAAAAACAAAATAAAATTTATTTATGAGAAATTGATATCAAGTGATATCAAATTTATATCAAAATGTGAGATTTCAAGGAAAACGGGTGGGGCTTCTGCTACTTTAAGTCTGATGACTGGTAATCCCTTTATTTTGCTTCCCATCCCTGCTGTAGATAAGATAAAAAAGATCAAATGTTAAGTAGCTTTTCTGCTCCTTCAGAGACCAAAGCGAAGGTCCCTAGTGCATCATGATGAACTAAGAGCTAATATCTGTTACGCTAAATGCTTGCTTAGGGACATGAAGCTGCACCATTGCCTATAAGATGTTGAGTCTGAGAAGTAAAGGCTGAATATCCTTTGCACTATCTGCTCAAGGACCTGAATGGGTACCATGGAGATAGCCAGGCAATAACATTGCAGAGATTGTTGGAATGCAGATTGCTGAGAATATAGTTATGGTCCTTTGGTTTTTAAGAAAGAGAAGGTCTCTCCTTCACTGGACCTGAGAGGTCATAGCTCCATGGCAGAGCACATATTGCATGCAGAAGGTCCCAGGTAGGCATAGATGGGCCTTTATTCATTCCATGTTGAATTTGTACATATCACCCTGATTCAGTAGCCTATTCTAACATTGTTATGGTTTTATGTTCCTATGTTCTTAAGACCTTGCTTTTATTTTGCAGAGAGAAGAATGTAGATGCAAAACTTTTGGAAACCAGGAAAAAATGGATGTGAACATTTCAGTTAGGTCAGTTGGTTAGAAGGTAAAGGTAAAAGGTAAAGGACCCCTGGATGGTTAAGTCCAATCAAAGGTGACTATGGGGTTGTGGTGCTCATCTTGCTTTCAGGCCGAGGGAGTCCGCATTTGTCTACAGACAGCTACTGGGTCATGTGGCCAGCATGACTAAGCCGCTTCTGGCACAACAGAACACCTTGATGGAAACCAGAGCCCCCAGAAATGCCATGGACTTTCCCGCTGCCTATTTATCTACTTGCACTGGCGTGCTTTCGAACTGCTAGGTTGGCAGGAGCTGGGACAGAGCAACAGGAGCTCAGTCCATTGCGAGGAATATGGTCATGGGTTCAATGTCCATATGGGCCTCCTGCATTGCAGAGGATTGGACAAGATGACCCTCTGAGTCAATTCCAACTCTACAATTCTATGATTCTATCATCTTCCAGTTCTATGATTCTATGATCTTCCCGTTAATGTGAAGTGCAAGAGGTGTGTAGTTTACTCTGGTTTCTCTTCAGATTGTATAAATCTTTGACCTTTGCTGAGAATTTACTATTGAGTGTCAATGGAGATGACTTTAAACTTGTATTTAAATATTGTGATCCAAAATCAGTTACTGCATAGAAAATAGGACATTCTTGTTTTCTTTCTTGGTAACTAATTGTGAAGCGTATGATTATTTAAAGCACTGTTTAAAAGTGGCATTTTTGTGTCTGCACTATGTCTTTTGCTATCAGATTGCATGCGATGAGCCAGAGTATGGCCAAACTAGATGACATGAAAGAGATGTGAGGAAAGCATTCTGATTCTGACTTAACTGAAAAGCAGGTTGAGAGGTTGTGGTCAGGGCAGCGGCGTAGCGTGGGTTATCAGCACCCGGGGCAAGGCAAGTAATTTGCGCCCCCTAACCCGGGGCAAGGCAAGTAATTTGCGCCCCCTAACCCGGGGCAAGGCAAGTACAGTAATTTACTCTCCCAAGCAGCAGCAGCGAGGCTTCTCTTTCCCCCGTGCTCTCCTGGAGCTGCCTCTTTTCTTTCCTTTTTTCCCTTTCTCCAAGGCTTTTCGCTTTCTCTCCTAAATTGATTCCTCCTCCACACCGCGGCGTTTCCTGGCTGCTCCCCCCTCCCCCCTCTCTCCTCCTCGCTCTGCTTGCCTTTCCCTGCCCTGCCTGAGGGCGCCCTGAGGAGACTCCGCTCTCCTTTTTGACCAGGCGAGGTGGAAAAAAGGGGGAAAAGTCTCTTCCCGCCCCCTCGCCAGACTCCCTGCTCGGCTCGGCTCACTACCCAGGCGGCCAGTGGAGAGAGTCTTGAGCCGCTTAATTCCCAGCAAGGAATTAGCAGGCTCGCTCCACCTCCTCCTCCTCCCGACTTTGCTGCTGCTGCTGCTGCGCGGCTTTTTTCCTCTACCGACGGCACGCTGTGCCTTGGAGAGGTTCCCGCTTCCTCGAGGGGGGCCGGCCAAACGCGCCCCCCAAAATGTTGCGCCCGGTGCGGCCGGCACCCCTGGCACCCCCCACGCTACGCCACTGGGTCAGGGGGAGAACAGTGGTGTAGAAGAGGCATCACAGTTCTGGTTACAAAGTTCTAGAGGCTAACTAAGTATAGACACGGCTTAGCATCTAAACTAAAGATGGATCTGGGTCTGTTCCAGTAAATCACCTATTGAATCTCCTAGCAACTGTACAGCAGAGACCTGATGGCAAAACAAACAAACAAACAAACAAACAAACAAACAAACAAACAAACAAACAAACAGCTACTTGAATTTAAAATGACTTACAGACATTGAATCCAGACTCTTCATTTCTCTTCATTTTGCTTCTAGGAATGTGCCAACAATGAGGAACAACACCATGGTGAGAGAATTCACACTTTGGGGATTTACAGACAGCCGACGAATTGAAATTTCCCTTTTTACCCTCCTGCTTGGCATGTACTTTTTGACAATAATGTGGAACACTGTGATTATCACAATCACACTTGTGAATCAACAGCTCAAAATCCCGATGTACTTCTTCCTAAAACACTTTGCAGTCTTGGAGATTGGATTTACCAGCACTGTCCTTCCGAAAGCATTGGGCAATATGGCCAATGGCCAACAGACTATCTCTCTACCTGGTTGCTTCCTACAGGTGTATTTATACCTGAGTGTGGGAACCACAGAGTTCCTTATGCTATCAGTCATGTCCATTGACAGATATGTGGCGATCTGCAACCCTCTTCGCTACTCAACCATAATGAATCATCGAACTTGCTCATTGCTGGTGCTCTGCTCTTGGGCTGGAGGATTTTTGCTCATGATGGCTCCTGCAATTACATTATTTCAATTGTCCTTTTGTGGCCCACATGCTATAGATCATTTTTTCTGTGACATTGAACCACTGATTAAACTTGCATGCGGGGACACAAGTCTCCTGGAACTCATATTTCTCCTCAGTGCTATACTCTGTCTCCTTGGCACCTTGGCCATAAATATTGTCTCATATACCATTATTATTTTCACCATTTTGTGCATCCCATCAACCACAAGGAGGCAGAAGGCCTTTTCCACTTGTGCTTCTCACATCATAGTGATCTCAATCACTTACGGCAGCTGCATTGTCATGTACATTAAACCCAGAGGCACAGGTGATTTAGCATATACCAAAGGGGTGGCTCTTCTTAACACTGTTGTGTCTCCTCTTCTGAATCCCTTTGTTTACTGCCTGAGGAACAAACAGTTCCAGGATGCCCTGAAGGCTGGATTTAAGGCACTTGTTGGGTTTTCTAGGACAAGGGAATAGAAACGACCTCAAATCACACATGAAAATCAGAGATCAACTTTGGAGCAAATTGGAAAAGCTTGCATTCCCTGGATTTCTTTCAGGAGTGAATATCAATTGGAGACTGATATTGTGTGTCAGATAATGTCGAATTTGGTCCATGGAGAGGTGGATTTAGGTGAGCACGACTTGTTCTGTCATACTGGGTGCAGAGCCTCGGGGGCTCCACAGTGGGACATGGCAATGATGATGTAGAATGGAATGATGTGAGAGATGGGAGAACACAGAATTTTGGCATCACACTGGGTGCTACTGAAATTTGAGAGCCTAGGGTCCACCACTAGTCCATGTCAGCTGTTTCAATTTGCACTGGTGTTTAAGAGGATCCTATTTACCTGCCATCTGAGAAGCTTTAAAATATGGAATTTTTGTAATGTTTCTTTGCATTTTTGTAACATTTTTTGAAAGTAAATCACATAGAACAGATTTTTTTTGAAGTATGAAAAATGTGAAATAAATAAAACCATGCAGCCTGACTGTATTGTATTTATTACAGAAGGGCCCTAACTCAGGGGTGGAGCACTTGTTCTGTATGAAGAAGGCCTGAAGTTCAACCTCAGACATCTCTTTTTGACCTTTTTTTTACTGATATCCCCAAAATTTTACAAATTTACTTAAATTTCAATATGTATTTTTCTTAAAATTTTGACTTCCCATCCTTAACTCCATGTTTTTATTCCCACCTTATACCTACTGCTTTATATAACATACTTTTATCTAATACAATTATTCTCTGTTTCACTTATCAGTGTTTTCATTCCACTGCTCATAATTCACACACACACACACACACACACACACACACACACATATATATATGCGTTTTGTTTTATAATTTAGAATATTCATTTAAACAGCCTTAAAATATCTTTTTTTATTATTGATTTTCATACATTAAACCAAACAAAAAAGACATACATAACACATTCACATTGAAAAGAATACATAAAAAATTAACATAGGACAACAACAGACAACAACAAATTAACTACATTAACTACAAAACACATAACATTAACTGACTTCCCTTCGTCTCGGTATCGGAATGTGTTATAAAGGTTTTCTATCTGCAGTTTCTTCTCCTCAGACCATTCTTTGCATCACAAGTGTTATATCGCACCTACTGTAATTTTTAGATTTTTTACCTCTGTTTCCATGTATGCCATAAATTTATTCCAATCATTATTAAACTTTGTGTCTTTTTGATTTCTTATTTTCTGTGTCATTTTTGCCAGTTCTAAATAATCAAATAGTTTGGATTGCCACTCATTTATAGTTGGGATTTTTGGTGTCTTCCAATTCTGCGCTATTAGTGTTCTGGCAGCCACTGTCGCGTACTGAAAAAGTGTTTGATCTTCCTTTTTGATTTCCTCTCCAGTTATCCCCAGCAAAAAGGCTTCGGTTTTTTTTATAAAGGTATATTTTAAGATTTTTTTTAGTTCATTGTAAATGGATTCCCAGAATTTCTTGATAGGTTCACACAGCCACCACATATGATAAAAATCACCCTCCTTGACCTTGCACTTCCAACATGATTTGTCACCAATTTTATATATTTTATCCAGTTTTACGGGCGTTACATACCACCTGTACATCATTTTATACATATTTTCCCTGAGTGTTGTGCATGCCGAAAATCTCATACCTTTATTCCATAGTGCCTGCCATTTATCAAACTCTATATTATACCCAAAGTCCATTGCCCATCTCACCATTACCTCTTTTACTTCTTCGTCCCATTCAAGCAACAGGCTATACATTTTCGATAGGAGTTTTGTTTTACTTTCTAGTATTTCAATCTGGAATCTAGATTTTTTCTCACTTATCCCATTTTTTTTGTCCTCGGTCCAGATAGAATTGATTTGGTGAAATTGGATCCAACCTGTCAATTTGTTCTTTATTTCTTCATATGGCCTAATCCTCCAACCAGTCTCTGTTTTTACTAGTAAATCTTCGTAGGTCCATCTTTCTCCTTCGATGTTTGTTTTTTTTATTGTCAAGATATCGATTGGCGATAGCCACCAAGGGGTATTCTGTTCCAGTAATTTTTTGTTCCTTTCCCACACCTCCAGCAGTGGCCCTCTAAAAACATGGTTGGAAAATCCTTTATGGATCTTTCCCTTATTACGCCATAGGTAAGTGTGCCAACCGAATCTTATATTAAATCCTTCTAAATCTAGCAGATCTTTATTTTTTATAACAATCCAATCCTTGACCCAACAAAGGCACGAGGCTTCATAATACAACTTTAAATTTGGAACTGCAAATCCTCCCCTATCTCTTTGATCTGTAAGTAATTTGAATCTAATTCTAGGACTTTTTCCTTGCCAAATAAATTTAGAAAGTATTTTCTGCCAATCCTTGAATACTGAAGTTCCCCTAATTATCGGTATATTTTGAAATAGAAATAGCAGTTTCGGTAGTAGACTCATTTTTATTGCCGCCATTCTTCCCGACCAGGAGAGTTTTATTCTGTTCCAAGTATCTAAGTCCTTCCTTATTTCTTTCCATGTGGTTATATAGTTATCTTCCATCAGATTAATGTTCTTTGTCGTTAACCAGATTCCAAGGTATTTTACTTTTTTGGTTACTTTAATTCCAGTCTGTGATTCAAGATGATTTTTAACCTCCTCTTTCACATTTTTAATCAACATTTTAGTTTTTGTTCTATTTAATTTAAAACCAGATAGTTTTCCAAATTCTTCTAACAAATCTAACACCTTACTGACACTCTCTTTTGGGTCCTCCAAAGACAGCATAAGATCGTCAGCATAAGCTTTCAATTTGTATTCTTTCGCTCCAATTTTTATCCCACGTATTTCTGAAGTCTTTCTTATCTTATTTGTAATTATCTCTAACATCATAATAAACATAAACAGCCTTAAAATATCAATGACTTCCCTTCTTCTCGTTCCATGGTTTATTTTGCACATCATAAATCCCTGCATATTGTAAATAAACTAAACCATTCACCATTCCATTATTACCTCCATCAAACTTATTTACACTATTGAATTTATCTTAATGCTGCCCATGTTTTAAAGTGTACACAATTTCTCCTCGTATATTCAATAAACATTTTCCAGTCTTCTTTAAACGAATGTTCTTCTTGTCCTCTCATTCTATATGTTAGGTCCGCAAGTTGCACATGTTCCATCAGTTTAAGTTGCTATTCGTCTTTAGTTGGGACCTCACTTGTTTTCCATTTTTGGCCTAACAAAATGTGGCCTGCAGCATGGCCTACATAAATAACCTTTTTTTTGACACTTGGGAATTTCTGTCTGAAATATCCCCAGCACTCTGGGGTTTTTTTGGGGAAAGTACTTTTAAACATTTTTTCCCCCAATTCGTTATGGATTATTTCCCAATCCTCTTTTACCTGCTGCTCATAATTCAAACCCTGCCTTCATTTTAATTTGACTGTAACAGTTCTTCAAATACTCCCTGTGGCGTTTGCCGCCTACGTGGGTCATAAGGAAAGGATTAAAATGAGTGTGATGTGATTGGCCAGTGGAAACTGGTAGGGGGAGTTAGAGTGAGAGTGGGAGTTGTGTGAAAGTCAGTTGAGAGTTGGGAGTTGGAGAAGGAAGAGGGAGGAATAGTCTGTGGGTTGGTCGAGTTGTGTTGTGTGTGTGAGAGAGGGGAATTGTTAGGTGGAGTCAGATAGTTAGTTGGGATAATCAGTTTGAAGTTGTTAGGAACGAATAGGACAGTTAAGGAACTAAGATTAAGAAACTGCCAAGAAAAATTATCTGAAACCATAAGCTTGTTCATGCCTATAAAATAAACTTGATTATTTGTTAATGTTAACAACTGACTGGACTCCGTGTGTACCCGTGAGAAACGGGTTGGTGGCAGCAAAGAAAGCAATTACAGTGGTGGCACAGGGTCAATAGGCCGTCAAACGTCCGGGGACCCTGTGTGATCGCCACACTCCCCAACGGGTTTCCACCCTTCCGTGAACAGTTCAGCTCTTTTATCTCTCAGTTTAGCTCTTTTATTTTTGCTGTCAATCTTGCCATTTCCACACAGTCCATTAACCTTTGAAGCCATTCCTTCTTGGTTGGTTCTTCTCCTTCTTTCCATTTCTGCGTGTACAGGATTCTGGCTGCTGTTGTTTCATACATAATTACAACCTTGGGTATCTCCAGTTTGGGCCGAAAGAGAAACCCCTGCCTCAAATCCCAGAGGGTTCATTGCTACTCAGTACAGTGGTACCTTGGGTTAAGAACTTAATTTGTTCTGGAGGTCCGTTCTTAACTTGGAACTGTTCTTAATCTGAGGTATCACTTTAGCTAATGGGGTCTCCCGCTGTCTCCATGTGATTTCTGTTATCATCCTGAAGCAAAGTTCTTAACTCGAGGTACTACTTTCACGTTAGTGGAGTCTGTAACTTGAAGCGTCTGTAACCTGAAGCGTCTGTAACCCAAGGTACCACTGTATAGAATACTGAGCTGGATGGACCAATCTTATCAGATTGGGAAGCTGGTACTTTCTGTATCCAGAAACAGATGCTCTGCTACCGAAAAGTTGCTTGAGAACTGCCTCAATTTTGCAAAGGGGTTTGGGGCATCAAATCCTTACATATTCCTCAAAGTGTGGTTGCAGTTTGGCTACTCTGAATGGGATGGTGGTGGTACGCATAAAACAGCTACAGACAGATTCAGGTCTACCTGACTGTATAACATTTTGAACCTTTAACAGCACAAGTTGGCACAATTCAGACTGAGCCTTTTTGATATTCAGACAAATTATTAATTAGTGTTCCATGGTGGCTGTCAAACGCAGTCAAGCGTCAAATGGCAGCTATCAGATATGCAGACTAATTCATTGGCTAAAAAGCACACCTATGGCGTGGTGTGGTGGTTAGAATGTTTAGACTGTTGGACTAGGACCTGAAAGTTCAGGGTTCAAATCTCACAGCGATGAAACTCCCTGGGTTCCTTGGTACAGAAAATTAA